ATAAGCATTGTGCTTTGGTGCTTTTAATATGAAGCAAAGTCTCAGATTTCAAATTCTGTCCATTGTATTGCAGTATTTAAACAATAAATTACGTTTTGCCGCTGTTTAATGTGGAGTGACAGATCGCTGTAACGCCTCAGTTCAACAGACACGGCAGCACGAGGCGCACGTGAACTGATCATCCACATTAATACCAGTTTCAGCACAAAATAAACATGACTAAACATCCGAAGGCAAGTTAAAAGAAAGAGTACAACTTTAAAATCCGTATCCTGCCTCATGTAATCGCTCAATCAGTGTTTCAGCCGTGAAAAGACGTCAATATAACAGCTTGTAAACAATGTCACGTGACGTCATATTTACCTGAGAAACAAACATATTCAGTGACCATAAACTCATTAGTCAGCCAGAAAAATAAACTGTAGAGAGGGGTATTTTGCTAAATATATGCACAATAACATATTCATTATAATTTTTACTGTTCTTATGTTAGAATAAATCCATCAATTTTTTATGACAGCCACCATTTAAATGTTTATATATAAAAAAATGAAGTAAAAATATTATTATGTAAAACTTTATTATTTAAAAAAACTTCATTAAGTGTAATTTTAGCAGTTGTAGGCTATAGCTTACAAATCAGTCAATTTTAACCTTCAATATTATAGTAATGTAGTACCAAATGATGTATATTTTACAGCATTAGTTGAGATTTGTTTTTTCCTTGAGAAAATTTGGCAAGTACTGTACATCCAAAATAATCGATTTTGTATCGAATCGAAAGCTTGTGAATGAGAATCGAATCGTGAAATTTGTGTCAAAACCCAGGTTATGAGGTCATGCTGTGTTGGTCACAGGGTATCACGTGATGCGAATTCGCAGGTCAGAGTTCACCAAGTTTGATCTTTGGAACGCAGCAAAATGCTAAACTTTTCACATGGGCTTGCGTTTCCGGTCTGAAGCATTCGCAGGCGTATGAATGGAAGTCAATGGAACGAAAAGTGCAGTGTGACCGCCCCATGTTTGTCACCAGTTTCCAATTAAGATTAATAAGACTTATACGAGGTCATGCTGTGTTGGTCACAGGGTATCACGTGATGCGAATTCGCAGGTCAGAGTTCACCAAGTTGGAACGCAGCAAAATGCTAAACTTTTCACATGGGCTTGCGTTTCCGGTCTGAAGCATTCGCAGGCGTATGAATGGAAGTCAATGGAACGAAAAGTGCAGTGTGACCGCCCCATGTTTGTCACCAGTTTCCAATTAAGATTAATAAGACTTATATTTTCTTCCCTTTTGGTTCAATATGAATCCCTATTAGAATATTTTAGTGTTGCTTTGTTTTTAAAGTAGCAGAAAAATTTATTTTGCAGAGTCTTTTCCATAATTTACTGATAAAAGTCAATAAATGACAGACAATACACAATTAATGAGACCGCCAGTCCTGTGTGCTTCATTGCAGTATGTTGTGATGAGTCTCTATCTGTTTGGAAGACATGTTCTGGTTTAGAGAGGATGGGTTTCTGGCATTTTTCAGACATTTTAAAGTGTTACAGGGTGTTAAAGAGAGTAACCTAAACTGGACTAACCGAAGAACTACCATACAACATATTTAAACCATAATTCATAGTCATAATTCTGCAATTAGTTCCATGTGACCTAAACAGCCTAATCTAGTAGTGTGAGAAAAACAGACCTCTTATTAAATACTTCCTCTATAAAATCAGTTCAATGCACCAAGAGCAGAACAAAAACAGATATGCTAAGCAAAAATATAAAAACGGGTGGCTGAGCACAAACACACACTAACACATGCATCAGAAGCGTCTATGCATTCATCTGACATTTTTCAATCTAAAACAAGCTTTTTATAGTCTTTTAATTCTCCAACACTGTAAATCTCAGTTGTTTTAAAGGGGTCATATGATGCTTTTTTTAAAGATCATTATTTTGTGTATTTGGTGTAACAGAATATGTTGACATGCTTTAATGTTCAAAAAACACATTACTTTTCAAATACTGTACATTATTGTAGGTCCTCTATGCCCCGCCTCTCTCAAACGCTTCGTTTTCAATAAAGCCCCCTCCTTTGACGAGCGCAGTCTGCTCTGATTGGCCAGCTGACCTAGTGCATTGTGATTGGCCGAACACAGCAAGCACACGTCAGAAATGTAACACCCCTTACCATAATCACCAGCTTCAGCTTTCAAAGTAAATATCAAGACAGTTAATAACGTCGTTAGTTTTACCATCAGTTCAAGCCCGAAAAGGCAACAGAGTCGCATGACAGACACAGTGATAACCAGACCGACTGAAACCACACCGTCTTTCTTTGCGTGCACATTTGGGCGGCATTATGCTAATATTTCCACATAGTGACGTAGACGTGTGGGGGCGTGTTAGAACGAGCCGTTTTAGGAGGGCGTGGTTGACTCTTAACTTTTATAAAGAATATCTCTTTGGATTTGAGACGTTAGTCTTTGCAACTTTACAGATCTTCTTTATGCACCAAGAGCTTGTAACACTCCAAAGAGAAAGGAAAACTTGAAATCACATCATATGACCCCTTTAATGCAATGTTTACCACAAGCTGAAGTCTTTTTGTGCGGCTGTTGTTTATGGTGAAATCCCGGTATCTCCTTCTCCGCAGCCACTCAAACAGGTTTTTGGTGGATGACAGACTAACTCACGTCACAAAGAGGCCTCAGGCCCACACAACCATGAGTCACCACCAGCTCAACATCCTATCAAACACCTGAGTAAAACAACGCATTGTACCATGATGGAAAAGTCTCACATAGCAGAAAAAGGCGACATCTTTTGGTTGATTTGAGTGCGTTACTGACATTATCTTTGCGACATCTAATGCATTTTGTTATCATTGTTAAATGCCCTGCCGGTGTGTGATAAATGGTTGGGTCCTATGTTTACCACAAGCTGAAGTCTTTTTGTGCGGCTGTGGTTTATGGTGAAATCCCGGTATCTCCTTCTCCGCAGCCACTCAAACAGGTTTTTGGTGGATGACAGACTGCCTCACGTCACAAAGAGGCCTCAGGCCCACACAACCATGAGTCACCACCAGCTCAACATCCTATCAAACACCTGAGTAAAACAACGCATTGTACCATGATGGAAAAGTCTCACATAGCAGAAAAAGGCGACATCTTTTGGTTGATTTGAGTGCGTTACTGACATTATCTTGGCGACATCTAATGCATTTTGTTATCATTGTTAAATGCCCTGCCGGTGTGTGATAAATGGTTGGGTCCTGTTCCGTGACTTTCAACAGATGTGCCACAAGTCTGAGCATGGGAGACTGCAGGCGCTCGAAAGAGCAGCTTGAGCAACAGGCCATGACTCACAGGAGCGCTCGGAGTCAGTTATCTGAAAACTAAACATGCTCCTATGAATAGACGTCAGTTTGAGCACATCCAAAGTAACAAATCTATCAGCCCTGAGAATTTCATTCCATATTGGCGCAACAAAGATAATAATAAAATTGCAAAGGCTGCTGTAATTCTTGGGTAATTCTGCTGTATTTTGTGTAAAAGAATGTATGTATTTTAGGAGCATCATACTTTCACCTAGATAACACAGCTGTTTTACAGAAGAGAATGTTGACCTTTGACCCTGCTACCTGAGAACACTTCAGAACGAGAAATGGAAAAGTAGCCAACTCTCCTTTAGACTCAACAAACTGTTCAATGAACCACTGAGATGAATAAGAAATACACTGAACAGAACAGAACATTAGTTAATGCAATAAAGTGAAATAATATATTTACAGAATGTATTAATCTTGGTTAATGTGAACCAATTTATATATTTTATATAATATAAGTTTAACAATTTTCAAATTATACATGGTAAAAAATAAACCAAATGAATTAATATACTGTGGAAAAACATTATAATTTACAACTGTAAATAATAAATGATCATTAACCTACATTAATAAATGCTATAAAAGTAGTACCTTATGCATTAACTAATGTTATCAAAAATTTAAGTTAATTTTGTTAATGCTTTACAATAAGGAATCTTTTGTTAACTTTGGTTAAATGTATTAATATAATTTGTACAATTATAGTACAAAATGATCAGTTAATAGTTCATAAAATGAAATTGTTTATTGTTTGCTCATGTTAGTTCAGTGCAGTGTTAATGTGAATCAATAAATGCCTCACCACAATGGTAGTCTCTATCTTTATCTTTGACGTTTTTTCATTATCAACGCCTGTACTGGTGACACAATTTAAGTCTACTTTCATTTAGTTTTAAGTCTAGCCTTTGTCTGGTATTTTGTCTTTACATCAATTCGCATTTTTTTCTTCAAAGCAACAAACACAAATACATTTTTCAGATTCCTTCCTGCATCTTGATGCAAAGTCATTCCATAACAGCCCTACCTGAACCGAAAACGTCTCGTGTTTGCAGCACAAGAGTCTTAACGCAACACTGACAGATCCCAGCTTCATGCAGCGGACGTTAGCATGTATATGAAGTGCATGTGACGTCTGAAGAGCTGAAAGCAGATTGAAAGTTCAAGCTTAAAGGTTCTTGTGCAAAATAATAAACTGTGACTTGACAAATAGTAGATTCGCACATCTGTTTTGTTTACCCAACTTGTTATCAAAAAGATCCAACGCCCATTAAGCTGCATACATGGCTAGCTTCACTGTTTTTGCAGTAATGGGCCGCATGCACACCGCAAAAGAGTGGAAGAGCTGAATTTGATGAATGACAGAGCAAAGGAATGTGTGGCATACTATGAAGTACGAGTTTGACTGTGGCTGTGGGACAGCGAGGATGAACAGACATGTGGATGAAAGGATGAAATAAAAGAAGGAGAGATAAAACTCAAAGTTTCAGGTGAAACTTGTGGGCGGGACTTGATAAGCAGGCCAGTCATCCATGCTGCATGTGCAAACAGTGAGGATGCTCACGCGGACAGGCAGCCTCGGCTCGGCTCGACTCGGACCGGACGGTGAGGTATATTTACCCGTCCTCAGACGAGGTTGTGTTATTCTGCTGCCGTTCGGAGGTTGAAGAGAGACCGCAGTGCACCTCGTGTGTCAGCAACCACTGCTCACACTGCAGGGAGACCACAAACAGGGAGTTTAATATGCATGCCTATGAACACACACACATACACACACTTTCTTTCGGGATGAGACTTTTGACCTTGAAATCTGTTATAAAGTAATAAAAGCATTGCAAAACCTGCTGTGTTGAATCATAGCCCTCAGTGGCTGGAGTTTGACCTGCAGTCATGGTACAATTTAACTCGCATCAAAAAGGCTGCTTTGAATCAATACAAGTTAGTAGTTCAAGTTCTAGAAATCGCCCTTGATATGTTTGTTTAGAAAATACTTCAGCCCGGTTAAAACAATATACAGCAGAAATTTGTCAGTTGCTGTAAATGTTTGAGTAATACTTCTATTTTGGCTACGCGGCCAGCGTGGTACAATCATTCTTACATTGATTCAATCAAAAGACTCACAAACTCTGAACCTACCGGTTTGAATTATTCTAACAAATCCTTCACTGAATCATTCAAAGCAGTTACTGAATCAACATCTGACTCACTTATTGACTTACTTTCAGTGATACATATTTTATAGGTTTGTGAAATCAAATGTCTTATAGGTTTACTTTAAATATTTTCACATTTTTCCATTAAAATGTATATATAGTGATATAACACTACCATTTGAACGTTTGGGGGGTCAATTTTTAAAAGAAATTAACCCTTTTATTCAGTATGGATTCATTAAATTGACTAAAAGAGGCTTCTTATAGGTTTACTTTAAATATTTTCACATTTTTCCATTAAAATGTATATATAGTGATATAACACTACCATTTGAACGTTTGGGGGGGTCAATTTTTAAAAGAAATTAACCCTTTTATTCAGTATGGATTCATTAAATTGACTAAAAGAGGCGGTAAAGACATTTATAATGTTACAAAATAATTATATTTCAAATAAATACTTTTCATTCCATTTCTAATGTTCTACCCACCAAGGAATTCTGAGACAGACAGACAGATACATAGATATGAAGCAGCACAATCATTTTTAAAATTGATAATAAATGTCTCTTGCCCAGCAAATCATGCATACATTTTTTTCATTATTTTAAATTGTAACTTTATTAAGACATTATTAATAACTATTTAAAAATTCAAAACAATAAAAAACGTTTGAAGCCCTGCTTTTGAATGGTAGTGTATATTGTTATCTAGAATTCTTAAGAATATTGCAAAAATACACTTTTGCTTATACAGCCCATTTCTATACACTTTTATGTGATAATACTGTCAGCTATTACTAAGAGTAGACTTTTTTTTAACTTCCAGTTGCTACAAATAGAAAAAGGAAAAAAAATCTAAAAAATACATAGATATGAAGCAGCACAATCATTTTTAAAATTGATAATAAATGTCTCTTGCCCAGCAAATCATGCATACATTTTTTTCATTATTTTAAATTGTAACTTTATTAAGACATTATTAATAACTATTTAAAAATTCAAAACAATAAAAAAACGTTTGAAGCCCTGCTTTTGAATGGTAGTGTATATTGTTATCTAGAATTCTTAAGAATATTGCAAAAATACACTTTTGCTTATACAGCCCATTTCTATACACTTTTATGTGATAATACTGTCAGCTATTACTAAGAGTAGACTTTTTTTTTTTAACTTCCAGTTGCTACAAATAGAAAAAGGAAAAAAAATCTAAAAAAATAAATAAATAATTCTCTCAACTAAGAGCAGACTAGACTAATTTTAACTTGCAGCTGCTAAAAATATAAATACAAAACTTGCTAAATTACTTGTTTGTTAGAAGACTAGTATTTTATTACTTATATTTTATAATATTTCTGACATTACCTAAATGATTTAAACAAATTCTGTTGATTTTCACCAAAAACCAGCACAGGAAAACTTAGCATATTCTGTCTAGGCCTGCTCCTAATAAACACAATAAGGAGTTGTTTAGCATCATTTGTTGCATCACTAATCAGTGATTGGCCCGTTTAACGTCTGTTAGCTGTCCGCAGACAGGATGGAGGGATACAGAGATGCACAGACGAAGAGGAGGAGAGACTTACGTAGCTTTATCCTCTTTGTGCAGGAGCTTTTCAAAAGAGATGAGACGTGCAGAGGGGGTGATGGAGCGTGAGTCTTTAAATTAGAGAGAGGGAGAGGGGGACGTAACTGACTGAAGACAGACGACCATAAAAAGTTCACAGGAAACTTTGCCGTTGGTGGTGGGGGATGGAGACAAGATGGAGAGATGAGCGAAGGAGTCGTCAGAGGAGAGATGTGAGAGAGATGGAAGATTGGATGAGAGAGACAGGACAGAGATTATCAGATTAGTGGCTGGTAAGACTGCCTAATTAAGAGGCAAATAGGCAGGTATGATGGCCTGGGTGGAGGAGACATTTTAGGTTGCTGTGGACTTTAGCCATGCCAGTGTGTGTGTGTGTGTGTGTGGATGAATTTTAAGCTCTGCCCCTGTCAAACACACCCAGCTTGCGTGTCTTCTCCCACGTTACACTGCTTTGATGATGATGGCAGAATACTGACTGTATTCAGCAACTGTTATTGGCTTTGGTGTGAATCGCACAGTAGTCAGAGGAGGAAACAAAAGGAGAGACAAAGTGAGGAATACATCAGCAAACGAGCAGGCCAGATTGGTTTTACACAGCCAGCATCCCTGATGCATTACCACTGTGATTTAACAAGTGTATTTTTTTTAAAGTAAAAATATATAATACATTTGTAGCAAAGTAGCTTCCATATTACACCCAAGTCTCTGTAACAGAGATTCCATTCACATCTTTTAATGCACATTTTAGGATAAGATTGCAAATTTGCATATAAACTAAGTTTATGGTAACACATTTACCAAATACACTACCGTTGATACGTTTAGGGTCAGTATGATGACAAGGATGCATCAAAACTGATCAAAAGTGACAGTAAATAATTTTATAAATTTACAAAATTTTATATTTTAAAGAAATGCTCATCTTTTGGACTTAATGTTCAAAGAACCCTGCAAAACTGTATCACAAAAATATGAAGCAGCACAAACTGTTTTCAACAAAGATGATAATAAATGTTTCTTGAGCAGCAAGTAAGCACATTAGAATGATGTATAAAAATTTTTTTTTAAAAATGGACAATTCTGATTTCCCATCATAGGAATTTTTGACTAACTGAATGCAGCCTTTCGTGATCAGAAGAGACTTCTTTAAAAAATAAAAAATAAAATTCTCACCAACAGTAGTGTAGATTCATATATACACATCAAAAGTCATGTGATTTTATCTATGTCTTGTGACTTAATTTTCCGTCACTCCCATTCATTACTGAAGTGCAAAATTATGCCACAATGTAATGCTGTGGTTATAGAGTTTGTTAAAATCTATAACCTTAAGTATGAGCACCAGTTATAGGGAGACATTCTTTGCGAACACAACTAACTAGATGACAACAAATAGTTTGTTGAAAAAAGTTAAAGCAGTCGCAAAAAAATAGAGAGATGCCCTGCGATGAACCACAATTCACCAATTCTTTCGTGTCAGGAAATAATTATTTTCGTGCAAGTTTAATTTAGGCTAAATTTATGTTTAATGAGTGCAGGTATTGGCTACATCCATTTTTGGGTTAAACCTGTTTGTGTACACACACTATGTGATTACCTCCACCTCCATGCATGAGTATGAGCACTGTGTGTGTGTGTGTGTGTGTGTGTGAAAGAATGCTACTGCTCTGTTTCAGGGCTGGATGACAGGCACGGACAAGTGCAGGAACCGACGTGTTTGAGAGCAGTTGGCGCGCTGAGATAGAGCTGCTTTCTGCCTAGCACATCACCCCCCCAATATCAGTTTCAATAGCGAGAGGCCACGATAAAAACCTGTGAAAGACAGACAGGAGATGGGACCTGATGCAAAGAGAGGAAGGTATAGAGTTTAAAAGAAAGGGTTGAAAAAAACTGATGAATGAAAGGAGCATGCTAGGTGGCGCAGATAAAGAGCGAGGTGAGAATCTGGACAAACGGGACAGGCCAGTTTGCTCGTTTGCTGCTTGAACGAACACACAGAGTTAACTGCTCTCTCCCTGGCTTGTTTGCTTTGTTTCTACTAAACACCAGAGACACTGAGGGGGAGACGGGGGCGGAGGACGGGAGTTACCAGAACCTGCACCACCCTGAGGTCTCGTATCCTTATCAATGCAAACCGTACACCCTACAAGACATAAACACACAGCAGGGCTGATACTAATTACTGCAGTTAGACCATACCACAAAAGACAAGCATTTGACACCAAGTCCTACTTGAACAAAACCTACATTCTACAGAATTTTTATTTTTTGGTGGAGTTTGCAAGCATTCCCATCAGAAGCGGGACTTAGGCCAAAACAGTCACATGGAGATGTAAATGCATAGCCAACACAATGCAATAATGCCATCCCATTATATACTTAAAATGCATTCTTACTCTACTGCGGCATAATTGATCTCCAGTACTCAAGGGGGCAGTCTGTGCTATTAAACTGACTGTGTTTATAGTAAGATTCCTGAATAATAACAGTTTAACTATCTTCAAACAATTGTCTTCAAATGGTTGCTAAGCCATGACTCAAAAAGCATGACCATAGAAGAAGACAGTTTGTACTAATGTTTGTTACAGCGCCCCTTGTGACAACGTTGAGAATGCAACACATACTTGCTTCAAAGAATGCAATAGCATTACCATCATAATAACATCTGAAAAACACAACGGTATTATCATGCTTCCATGTCCAAAGAAACATGGTAATAGCAAAAATATGGTACATTTCTAGTACAAGTGAGGGGTGAAAGCACCCCTCAGGATGTTTCTCAATCATTCAGCAGAAGTGCCGGCAATGCAATCAAAAGCAAAGACATAGCGAATTGAAATCATCTGACCAGCCATTGTGTGGCAACATGTGGAAACTCCAGCGAGGTTTGAGTTCGTTTTACAGATGATGGTTTATATTAGAGCAGAACAGAGAATAGCATTTGCCCATCAAACCAAAGAAGGAAAAAGCAG